TAATGAAACAAGGTATATGAATGTTTGAATGTGAAACCGATGATGTGCCCTGAAAACTTTCACTCAATCCACAATAAAAACCTTAAAAAAAAAAAAAAAAAAAAATGTTATTGAGTTATTTTGTATGTGGAAATAATAATGCTAGATCTGTAAGAAACATAAATACATAAGACTTTTAGACCTAAAATTGCTCCTTGCAGGGGGAGATCAGACTTGTGTTAAATTATTATAGAAATTAGACCTAAAATTGCTCTTGCAGGGGAAATCAGACTTGTGTTGAAGTATTATAGAAATTGATAAAATGGTGTGAATTCAAAGAAGATAGTAACTTCATTCACTAGAGAATACTTTATGAAGCAATAATTTTAAGGTGGGCTTTTATCATTCTGACTGTATGTGATATATAAGTGAAAATGTTACCTGTAGTGTTCAAGTTTTTTTAGAAACCTGAGTTACATAGTAATTCTAACTCTGTCAGGATGTCAGTATCTGCTTCTATGATTTTTGTACTTTTTAAATAAAACACTACTTTTGCAAACACCTTGCTAAGACGATTTGTATACCAGCATTCAATTTTGGCATAGTTGCTTTTAATTTTCTCTTGTCCCCAAAGATCAAGGGAACAAATGGACAGGTTACAAGAGCAGATATTCTTCAGGTTGGTCTTCGGGAGTTGCTGAATGCCCTCTTTTCCAACCCTGTGGATGACAACTTAATTTGTGCAGTAAAATTACTGAAAGTAGGTTTTGTTTTTTCCCTTAAAATTTTTAAGTTTTACCTCTTTAATGTATAATGTAGAAGATGGGAAAGTATGTACAGCATACAAGTGCAAGATAAAATTATTACTTCAAGTATTGACATTTTAACTTGCTCTTGAATTTGTATATTGAAGTAACCAGATAATTGTTTAATATACAAAGCAGAATTTAGAAGTAAGAAATGGAAGTCGGTCCTTTGCTCTATCCCATACTTTTTCCTTCCCATGTCTGTATATGTGCTTATAAATACTGTCTTCTGTTACAGCTTCTATTTTCCCCACTTAACAATAGATCTTCCCATGGCAACATATACCCAGATCTGCCTGTTAATTTTGTAGCATCTGCCTGTTAATTTTGTAGCATCTTTATATATGGTTTAACAATGATCATTTGGATTATTTCTCACTTAGCCTCTGCAAGCACTATTGATCTTTGATCATGTCTTTATATTTAACCTTAGATATTTTTATAGTTTAAATCCCTACACGTAGTTTGTTGGAGCAAATAGTTTAAATGGGTTAGTGATGCCAGATTTCCTTCCCGAAGACTGAGCCCCAGAGTGTTTATTAGTTTCTGTGATTTACGTGTTTAGACCTTGAACTCTTTCTATGATGAAGTAGAGGGTTTGCCTTGGAGTCCCAGTGTAGTGCTGCAGGATAATGCACTGGATGGAAAGGTCAGTTTGAAGCATAAGGTGGGCCGTTCAAATTCACCTGCCACTCCTTGGAAACCCTATACAGAGTCTCTATGAGTTGGAATAGACATGCTGGCACATAACAACATATTTGTTGCCTGTTGCATATTTCCACTTCAGGTCTGTTATTTGACCCTTTAACTTTAGTTTCGATGACTTTTACCCTAGAACTGTGTACAAACTGTCATATGACGGGAGGGAGGGATACAAGAAACGATAGAACTCAAACTTACTGATGTCAGGTCCCGTTGTCTCCTGAAATGGAGGACCTCAAAGAGCTTTAGTTAAAGTGGGTTTTATCTGTCAATATTTGCTGTTTGAAATTAAAACTTTAGAACTTTTAAAAAAGTTCATTGCCATTAAAAAAGTTATGAGCTCATTACATTATGTATGACAGTTGCTTCTCAAAACAAAAATTAGTGAATAGAGAGTAGCTTTTTATATTTTGCAAACTTCTTTAATGCCTGGCTTAGTAGCACAGTTCTTATATCTGCTTCTGCACTGTGGTAATATGTCATTTGATTTTGTAGTTAGGAGTGTTTCAATAACCTTTTCAGATACTTGTTGGATATCACACCAAAACTTAAATAGCAATTTCTTAAATGTTAGTTACAATATAGGCTAATACCAGCCATATCAGTGAATTTTTCATGTTACACAATTTTATACTTTGGCCTGTGTTGCCTTTTAAATTTATTCTCTATGCGCTATTTTGTAACATCCTGCATTAGTCATTGGGAAAATATTGGTCCATTGAATTCTTTAGATCTTCTAAAGTTGGCATATATGCTATGCAATATTTAAAAATTAGATCATTAATACAAATAATCTTATCAGAGATGTCTTCAGTACTGCGTAGATTAAGTTTTCCAAAACCAGTATTGCTCCTAGTCTTGAGTTTCAATTTTTGAAAGATATTACTGGGGAAGGGGAGTGAGTGATACAAAAAATTATGATTGAAATTTACTGCCTGTCTTAATTACACAAGAAGTTGTAACGTATAGTTGCCAAGTTATCAAATTCATGATTTAAATTTTGCTATAGCTCCTTTTTAAAATTTATCTTGGTCAAGAAAATTATAGAGGACATGTTATGTGTCATTGAGTCTACCCTGTGTATGGGTTCCCCAAGAGCGACTGGTGGATTTGAACTGCTGACCTTGTAGTTACCAGTATAATGCTTATCCTGCAGCACCACACCAGGTATATAAAGTTGCCTAAATATTAAATGGTAGAAATAAAATAATTAGTATTCTCTTTTTAAAAAATTAGTAGTTTTCTCTTTATTGCTAAATTTTATTCAAAGAATGCTTGAGAACTGCTACTATTTAAAATTTCTATACTCTTGAATTCTTCACTTTACTAACATCACCTTCCTTTTTAGTTGACAGGATCGGTTTTGGAAGATGCCTGGAAGGAAAAAGGAAAGAATGATATGGAAGAAATTATTCAGAGGACTGAAAATGTTGTCCTAGATGCAAATTGCAGCAGGTGGGAAAAGAAATAATGTAGACAGCTACTAAATCTCAATTTCTTGCTTTTTTTCTTTGGGATTGTTTTTTAATCTGCTATACTTCATCAGAGTAAATGAAATCTTATCTGCAGAAATAATTTTATTCCAAGATAAAGTATTTTTACTTAGGGATTCTGAACCCTGGGCATTTCTTTTACAACATTTTGTGTGTGTAAGCTGGAAAGGTTATTTTTCTGTAGTAAAATATTAAATATCAATCCATTGATTCAAATGTGTTCAACAGATAAGTGTAGTAAGATGTCAAATATTTGAAGGATAACCAGTCTTTAAGTACCATATCATCTACAGTTAAATTGGATAATGTCAAGGCTGTTTAAAAATAAAAGGCAAATTTATGACATTGTTGGAAATTTCGGGAAAATCAAACAGGTATACAAGTTTAGGAAGTAAGGTTTTTAAGTCTTTGAGATATTTTAGAGCTTGCCAGTACTTGTTGGTGAAGACATTTTAAGTCCTTTAAACTTTTGTCTGCAGAGATGTAAAACAGATGCTTTTGAAGCTTGTAGAACTCCGGTCGAGTAATTGGGGTAGAGTCCATGCAACCTCTACATACAGAGAAGCAACACCTGAAAATGATCCCAACTATTTTATGGTAAGTATACCAGTGTTTACATTTAAAATATTTGCTTATTGATTGAATTCAATTTTGGAAATTTCTAGATGTTACATTCTGTGAATGAAAAGCTAAATATCTTTTTTTCACTGGCTTATGGTCAGAAGACAACCAACCAGGTAAACGATGAGAAAAGTCCTGGAACCCTCCAGTGAAAGGGTGGACTAGAGAAAGACCCATCCAATGGCAAGAGGGATAAGGCTTGGACTAAAGTGGACATAAGGGTGGAAGAAATTTTTCCGGAAGATTTATAACTAAGGGCCTGCATCTCAAACTTTATTTTGCATGTTTTAGTAAAGTAAATTAAAATAAGAGATTAACAGATTAATAATTCCTTAAAGCTCCTGATTTAACCACTCATAAAGCAACTACAGAGGAATACTACTGCAACCCAGGAATTCCTTGTAAAACAAGAATGTACTTGTTAACAATGAGCTAGCACTAAATCATAATGCACAACAGATGAAATCACCATGAATGTGTTCAGATAAGACAGTAGATTTAGAACCACAAGAACTTGGGATAAGAGAAATCTGAAAGGCATAATCCTGCCCGCCCCCCACCCCCCCAGTGAAATGAAAATGGCTGCTAGAAAACTACTTTTTTTTTTTAACGTGCTCTTGAATTATCAGGTGCAGACAATTAACATCAGCCATGCTTCATTAATTAATGTGCTTTTAAAACTTCTGAAATACATATTTTTATCACTTTGATTCATCCTAGAACGAACCAACATTTTATACCTCTGATGGTGTTCCTTTCACTGCAGCTGATCCAGGTATGTTCTCTCACAATTTTTCTCCCCATTTTTTTTTAATAGTAAATTATAGAAAGAAATAAAATCGTATCTTCACTAGCACAAAATCATTCCAAAATGCTAAGATAAATGATGGATATAAAATTCTTTATAGTGACCATTTCAAATAGAAAGACTCGCTACATGTTGTTGTGCCATTGCATGAGTTTCTAAGGAGCAGCTGTTACAGCTTGAACCACTGATGTTGTGGTTCAGGCCAACTTTGCAGTCCCACGCATAACACCACCAGCGCCACACCAGGACTCTTACATAGTCACTCTTACATAGCAATAAAGAATTGGAAGAATCCTTCAATTAAGTGAAACCATTTTTAATTAGCCTCATATTGTATCAATTAAACTTTTGGGTTGTTAGAAAGGAGCGGAAAGTGTTAGTGGGTTAATACTTGCATGCACGAAGAATTAATAGCTAGTGAGCTAAAGGTGATTCAGACCTGTCTTTGCACAGTTACTTTCCAAAATGAGATCATTTGTAGAAAAATCACTTTATCTTTCCCATGTAATAGATGGTACTATAATACAAGGGGGAGGGAGGGATTTTTCCTGTTATAGTAAAGTGGTGGTGTAGGATTTCTTCAGTTTTAAATGCCTTTTGGTAAAAGGTATAATCAGTTTATCAACAGAATTTTCCCATTTGTTTCCTCAGAATAGCAGGCACTGACTATCTCCTATGCCTGTAGCATTAAAAGAGGTAGAAGGTCTGCTGTCAATTTTAAATTATGAAGCATATTAAAACATTAGAAAATGCTGATCTATTTGCTGCCAACATTAAACAATTGAGCAAATAACTATTGTTATATCAGTATGCTTCAGGATTTGGGGGTTTTTTGTTGTTTTTAAACTTTTTATTGTAAATTGAGTGAAGGCTTCCAGGCAAGATTATCAGCTTTACTTCAGATTTTTTTTTTTCTTTTTCTTTTTTTAAAGAAAACCCTTTTAGATTGTACTAAAATACTCCCTAATTACATCCCACTCTACCCCTACCCCTATATTTTATCCTAAGGTTGGTTTATATCATTCTAATTTACGTTTTTACGTAACTTTATGTATATGAACAATAGGTGTTATCATGCAATAGTATTAGTTTAGGAGTCTTGGTGTGGCACTGTAGGATAAGCATTGGACTACTAACCAAAATGTTGGTGGTTAAAACCCATCAGCTGTTCCTTGGAAATAACACAGCATCCCTGAGTCACGACTTGGCTCACTGGCACTTAAACTAGCATTCATCTAAGTGGTTTTATACTGTGAACATTATTTGGCCACTTTTTTTTTTTTTTTTAAATACTTTTGATATTATTCATAATGATACATGAGAGGACTTCAGAAAACTCGTGTAAAATGGGATTCAAACATAATGAAATTTTTCCACAAATTTTTTGAAATCCCCTCTTAAATAACAGTAGTTCATCCATTTTAAATGCCAAATGATAGTCCACCCAGTAAATCAAGTTATGCATACCCCTTATGGATAGGGAGTCCTGGTATGACATTGTAGGATTATATGCTGGGACCACAAGGTCAGTTTAAGCTGCAAAGTTGGTGATTCAAACCGACCAGCCATTCCTCAGAAACCCTATCCAGGCTTGCTAAGAGTCTAACCGACTCGATGGCACTTAACAACTACTTAGACATAGGAGCCCTGATGGCGCTGTACAATAAGCACTAAACTGCTCATTAGAAGGTTGGTGGTTCAAACATACACTAGCTTGCTTAAAGGGAAAATGAGGATTTCTGCTCCTGTAAAGATTCACAACCTTGAAAACACTAAACGAGGGCTACGATAAGTCCAAATTGACTCAGTGACATTAGGTTTGTGCAAAAAAATATGGACTAAACATTTCTCTCACAACCTTCTGTTCTCCTCAATTGGGTTCTATATCTATAATCCATTGCAATGGTCACACAGAACTTGAAGGCAATATTCACACAGTTAATAGGGAGGTTTATTAGGAAAGTTAATAAGTTATACTTTGGGGTCAGAAATGCTCACGGCACAGTTAATTGTTCAGTCAACTCCTGATAAATGCCCACAGGACACACCACTGTCCTATACACCTCAGCCTGAAGGTACACTGGGCTTTAGCTTCCTGTGCCAGCAAATCTACCTCCCCTTCTTAGTGCATGGAGGCACCCCCACTCTATAAACAAGCTTCCTGCCCCAAATTGCTTAGCATTGTTTGCTCCATGGGCTGGCAAGTCCACTACTCTGTCTTGTGATCTGGTTCTTGTGTCTGCCGCTCTTCTGTGAACTTCTCTAGTGTCGTGATTTGTTGCTGGGTCAAGGAGGTTCAGTGCACAGGCACCTCAGGATCCCAAGGATGTGCTACACTCCTGACTATTCTTTGGTAGTAGTAGAGCAATTTCCACTCTTGCTTCTGAGCTGGCTCATTTCACACCCATGCTTGAGTTTCATGTTTTTACAGTGAAAATGAATTAACATCCTGTCACTATTTTCTACCTTCTCTTATTCACACCCATCAGGAAAATAATTGTTTGGTTAGACCAAGGCTAGAAGAGACATATTTAACAAATCACTACACCACCAGTCCTTCCTGACAATACGTCCAAAATACAAGAGACAAAGTCTCGCTGTCCTTGCCTCTAGGGAGTATTCTGGCTGTACTTTTTCCCAAATAGTTTTGTTTGTTGTTCCAGCAGTCCATGGTATTTTCAGTGTACTTCACCAACACCATAATTCAAATGCATCAGTTCTTCTACAATCTTTATTATTCATTGCCCAATTTTCATATACATGAGAGGTAATTGAAAATACAGTGGTTTTGGGTCAGGCATACCTTAGTCCTGAAACTGACCTCTTTGCTTTTCAACATGTTAAGATGTCTTTTACAGCATATTTTTCTAATTTAATACATAATTTGGTTTCTTGACTACTTGTTCCAAGAGCATTGATTTTGGGATCCAAGCAAAATGAAATCTTTGAGAACTTCAGTCTTTTCTCTGTTTATCATGCTGTGTTTTATTGGTCTAGTTGAGAGGATTTTTGCTTTCTTCATTGAGGTACACTCAGTACTGAAGGCTGTAGTATTTAATCTTCATCAGTATTTCAAGTTTTTTCAGTTTCAGCAAGCAAAGCTGTGTTATCTACAAAATGCAGATTGTTGATGACTTCCTCCAATCCTGATGACATGTTCTTCATTTCCAGCTTTTGATTATTTGTTCAGCATACAGATTGAGTTCAATCCAGCGAAAGGATACAACTCTGACAATACACCTTTACTGATTTTAAACCATTCTCTATCCCCTTGTTCTGTTGGAACGACTACCTCTCGGTCTATGTCTATTAATTAGCACAGTTCAGTGTTCTGGAATTACCTGTTCTTCACAATGTTATCCACCATAGTTTATGATCCACACAGTTGAATGCTTTTGCATAATCACTAAAGCACAAGTAAACATCTTTCTGGTATTCTCTGCTCTCAGCCATTATCCATCTTATATCAGCAGTGATATCCCTAGTCACGTTCTCTTCTGATCTGGCTTGAATTTCTGACGATGGACCATTATAACCATTTTTTAATCATCCTCAGCAAAATTTTACTTGAATTATGTTATTAATGATACTGTTTTAATGCTTTTTGTATTACACTGGGCTATCTTTCTTTGGAATGGGTACAAGTATGGTTTTTGTCCCATCAGTTGGCCAGATAGCTGTCTTCCAAATCTTTTGGCATAGATGAGTGAGTGTTCTAGTTTTGCATCAGGTTTTTGAAAGATTTCAATTTGCATTCCATCTATTTTTGGAACCTTGTTTTTTTTTCCCAGTGTCTTCATTGTTGCTTGGACTTCTTCAGTGTCATCAGTTCTTAATCACATGCTACCTTGTTAAATTATTGAGTGTTGACCACTCTTTTTGGTACAGCGTTTCTGTAGTCCCTCCGTCTTCTTTTGATGTTTCCAGCAGCATTCATTGAGGTATTTGGTTCAGCTGCTGTTCATTGCCATTGAGTCCGTTCCAACTCACACCTGTATAGGGTTTCTAAGGAGTAGCTGGTGAATTTGAATTGCCTACTTTGTGGTTCAAACTGACCTTGAAGTCGAGTGCTTACCCTCAGCACCACACCAGCAGCTACAATAAAGTACAGTTTCTATAATTATATGCATCGCACAACTTTTGCCAGTTCACCTATTTATAGGTGTACAGTTTATTAACAGCAATCACAGTACTTGGCTGTCCTGAATCTGTGTGGTGTGTTTTTTCCCATCACTGTAAACTGAAACTCAATACTCTGTAAGCAATAACTCCCATTCCCTCCCTTTGACTTCTGATAACCACTTAAGAAACTGTGGTCTCCCTGCATATGCCCTTTCTGTTCTTTCTACATAAGTAAGGTCTTAGGATATTTGTCCTTTCGTGATTGACTTACTTCACTCAACATTGTCTTCAAGCTCAAACTCTGTCCATATTGTAGTGTAGCTATAGTATCAAGACTTAATTTCTTCAACTGAGTGTAGTAGTCTACTTCATGTACATAGTAATTTTTTATCCATTCATCTCTTGATAAGCACTTAGGTTGTTTATACTTTTGGCTGTTAGAATAGCGCTGCAGCAAAGTTGATTGGTACACAGTTTCTGCTTCTGCTTTCAAGTCTTTTGGGTATATACTTGGGAGAGTGGAATTTCTGGGCCATATGGTGGTTCTTTTTTTGAGGAACTGCTACATTATTTTCCACATAAACTGTACTGTTTTTGCATTCCCACAAACAACAGGTAAAGATTCGAGTTTCAGTTTTCCTACATCCTTAACTGACATTTGTTATTTTCAGGATTCTGTTTTTTTTTTTTTTTTTTGCTTAGCCATCCTAGTGGATTTGAAACATGGTATCTTACTCTAGTTTTAATTTGCAGCTCTTTGATTGCTAATATCACTGAGCATCTTTTCAATGTGTTTGTTCTTTGGGAAACTTGAGTATGATGTAAGTGAAATATATTGGTCTTGT